ATCTAGGAACGTAAGCAACCTGCACCAAGCGTGGCCATCGTGAGCTCCGAACAAGCAAACAAAGTGTGACCAAGAGGAGATTGCAAAAGCCTGTAAACCATAAGCCCTATACTTTCCCTAAACCCTACCCATGAAAGTGTTACTAAAATCGGGTCGCCGAAAGTGTCTGGACGTGTCTGACTGGCTGTCCGGGCCATGTTGTAGCTTTGGAAACATAATCCTCCACTGCTTCTGTGCGATCTTTGGGCTTGGCCTTTTGTTTTTTGGAATCCGATGCTGCCTTCTCCCTGTTGCCTCGCGATGACGCAGCTCTGGCTTTTTTTTGCACTTTGCCTTTGATGAGCTTGTCTCAAACAAATCTGAGCCATCCCCGAATGCTTCAGGTGTGATCACCTCAGGCAGCTCTAGGTCGCACGTCACATCATCTGGCAGAGTGATATCTGCCATGATTGTCCAGAAACCTACAATAAGTTAGACTGCTCGATCCACTAGTGCGGGCAAGTGCGAATTGCTTGCTCAAAGTGCACCTTCCTGCTCTTCCCTCCCTTGTCAGTGCCCTCTACCTAACCCTACCAATCGAGTGAATACACTACTGGCCCATGTTGCCTCCAATCTCGCATCAGTTGTCTACGGTCTACTCGGGTTCCTCCTGCGCGGGACTCTCTCTCTCTCTCTCTCTCCCTCTCTCTCTCTGTCTCTCTCTTTCTCTCCCTGTATATCTCTTTCTCTCTCTATGTCTATCTCTCTGTCACTCTCTCACTGTGCGAGACAAACCAGAGACACCTACAGAGTAGTTGTATTGAAACAAGCAAGACACACGTAATGAACAACCATTATGCAATGTCGTTCCTTCTTTCTCGACACATCAGGCAATCTCCGGCCTTGCTCCCCGAGGCCTTGCGCTGAAAGCAGGAGTGATTGAAATGAAGCCGGCAGGGGCATTTGGGGAAGCATGTTCCTGTGACATACAAACTGAAGCTGAAGCAACAGGAGTGGTAGTTTCAGCAGTCCCGCTACGCAGTCTCATCTCCCCCTAGCTCCCCTGACAAGATGGAACATTGAACCTTGCAGCAGCTTGCAGCAAGTGCTTTCGGAACTGGAAACAGCGACTTCTGTGAGAAGTGGCTGAAGCAAAACCCTAGAATGATGTCCCTCTCATTCACTTGGGGCCATGGCCCCTTCCCCGACCTCGGCCTCGACCGCGACTGCTGGAGTCACTCTTGTTTGGCTGGTCCTTGGCGCTGGCTTTTTGCAATCTCCCGATCCTCCTCTGTCTGAATCCTAAGTCTTGGCATTGTGCACAACCACAAAGGCGGCTGTGACGGCACTTTGGACAGCCCAAAGTGTCCACTGTGATGTATGAGCGACTGGAGGGGTCCCACACTTCGGCAGGAGCTCCATCCTCGGCAGCTGGGGCAGCTGCAGCTTGGGGGTTCTCCGGTGCAGCAGGCTCTGGGACAGGGCCTGGCGGCATAGAAGATTCTGCTCCAGTGGGACCAAGCATGTTGCCGCTGTCATCTGGGGGCAGTGGGACTTCAGGCAAATCATTGCCTGCTGTGGGTGGGGCAGGCTTGACCTCTGTGCCTTGGGGCTTCTTTTGCTTCTTTGCCTTGGGTTGTGCTGCTGTTCCCGTTGCAGTTCTCTTGTCCGGCTTATGGCTGGCTTCTGCATCACGACCATGCTCGTCGTTGCTGTGCTTGTGGTTGCTTTTGATGACGACTTCGCGAACTGGGCCTGGTGCATATTGTTCCCACCTGAGGTTGGCTTTTATAACTTTCGACTGGGGGGGCATGAAACTCAGTCAGTGGAGCACAGCAGGATTTAGGGCCGGGACCCTGTTGGATCAGGCATTCGCAAGGTCACAGTAGCATCACCAAGGAACCATGTTGGCAACTCGGGCTTGTAGGGATCCAGCTGCTGCTCGTTTGTTTCCTGAGCTGGTGTATCTAAAAGTGAGAAACAGAACATTAACATTCAAAGCCCCACTGCACATCTGCTGTGTGTAATTAATGTGTTGCTTCGAAATGTCCAGCTGGGCCCTGCAGTCCTCTCTCCCCGTACCCAACAACAGGCTGAGCACCAGTCGACCCATTTCAGAATGTAGTCTCTGGCCCTTGTCAGGTCCCACGGCTTCTTCGCAACGGCCATGGCTGTCTTCCGAAACCTCAAAACAGCAACAGGTGTGGTGTGCTGGCAGGGTATGGGTTGCAGGCCTAAGTTGAGCTGAGATTCTGATCCATCTGCCTCTTGCTCAGGGGGTTCCGGTACAAGGGCAATAGCTCCACGTCTAATCTTGACAGCAGATCTCGAGGAACAAGAAGTAACGGGGCCTGTGAAAGGTTGGAAGAACTGACCCATTCCTTGAGCAGCAGGACTGCGTCGTCTGGGGACTTCTCATACTCCTGATGGAACAGGCAAGGGGGCTTCAAGGGGGTCTGTGAAACAATTATAGAGAGGACAGTTGCGGCACAGAGTGTGTGTGTGTGTGTGCGTGTGTATTGATGTGTGGTTTTAATGCAGAAAAATGATTCATGCCTCCTGTTCCAGCTCCACCACTGACCATTGCAGTTCTTGTCGCTTGTCGTAGGTTGGAAGATCCTGAGGGTCACAACATTAGCAATTTTAGAGGTCTAAGCCCATCCTGCACAAACGACAACAAGGCAAGGCTCTGCTCTCCGAACCACCCTCCAGGAGTGGCTCGTTTGCAAGTGACGTGGCCCAGGAACCAAACCGCTGATTTGAATTCCCAGCTTCTGCACATACAACTTCATGTCCCATGAGCCCCACATAACCTCCACTATCAATTGTCTGCCTCTGGAAGGTGTGACTGTCTTCTTGATGACATCGACAAAGTCCTCTCGGGACAGGTTGGCATGGATTGAGCGCTGCTTGCTGAAGCTCAGAGGTTTAGAGGGTCAGTGCTGCAGTTTTGGGGGCTACATGGGCTGTAGTGTTGAATGTTTACAGTTCATAGTGGCTGGAAGTTTGAGCCAAGGCCTTTGGAAGGGTTCTTTGGGTCACAGGCTTTTGGCCTACATGGGCTTGACAGTTTTGAGTCTTCTAAATTTAGCGATGACAAGTTTGAGCTACGACATTTCGAGGGGTTACTTGAATCCTTGGGTAAATACTAAGGAGCTGAGGCCAGACATTTCCAATATAAGGTCTTGTTTCCCTACCTAGAAACTAGCACCCGACCCAAAACTTTGAGACTAGAAGTGATTCCTGAGGATGCTCCAGCACCTTGGCTTGTGCCAAACCGGTCGTCATAATGGAGAACCTTTGGTCAAGAGGTCCATGTGTGTGTCCCACGGGACCGTAAAGATGAGATACACTCTTGAACCTGAGCCACACGTGCAACAGAACACAAACAACAAAAGGCGACACGACCAGTGACATGACCAATTCTCAGACGAGGCGCTTTTGTTTTGATACCAAAATCCCCTCGAATCCCAGTACATGCTGATTCTTGCCTTCTCGACATGTATTGTCTGTCTGGCAAGGCAGGGAGACTGCAAAGGATTGATATTAATACAACCATGACCGTGCAACTACATGGCAAACATACCCTTCAAGGCCTCGATAATCAAGTGTTCAGGGAGCCGAGGAATGGAACGGCTTGAAAGAACAGTTGATGCAATGTCCAAGCCACGAAGGACCAGGCTCATCTCGGAGGACGACCCCTTTGGAAGGTCCGCTTCGGAAATGATGTAGCACTCCGCGACCTTGGGCTTTTGAGGCTGTTTGGGGCATTTGGGGTTTACTTCGGCTCGTGATTGCCACGCTGTACTCTTGCAAACAAGGATCTCCCCACAGCAAGATTCCTGCTGTGTGCAACTGTGGGCGCCACAGATTTTCGGTCGCTTTGGTTAAAGCCAGGTTTCGAGGGACTCGAAACTTGGCTTGGTCGACGTAATCAAGGTCCATCTTTAAGATGGAGTTGTGCCCATCCACAGAAGAAGACGCATGAAGACAGCCACAGCTCTCTTCACTGAGGTGGTTGTATCTCGTTTGAGCGGCTCGGTAGTTGCGAACAACCCTCAAGTGCTGTCGATGCGCTTCAACAATGGCATCTCGTTCAGATGCCAGCTGACACTTCTTGATGCGTTCAGTGAAATCTGCACAGTCGGCACACCTGATAGAGAGAGAGAGAGAAAAAGGGATAGAGAGAGAGAGAGAGAGACAGAGTGAGAGTCAGCACGGAGTGAGAGAAGACATCGGCAAAACACCTCAGCATCAGAAGCCCACCTTGCATGCTGGGACTCTTTGCGAAAACCTATGTATTTCTTCCAGCTCTTGACAACCTTTCTGAACGTAGTCACACAGGCAGGGGTTGTGTCCGGCACAGTCGTGTCTGGCCCAGCCAGAGAGTTGAACCACATAAGGTACTCTTCGCGAAGCGATCGGAAGGTAGTCCACCCGACATACTTTTTGCACCTGATGGCCTTCTCGCTGGGCTCTCCTATTGGCGAATGTTTGAATTCAGCTAGAACACAAGATGTCTTCATCGTGCTAGATAGAGTACACATCATCACACATCTTTGTAGTGAGAGGGTGTCCTTCTTCCTGAATATCGGCAATTGCAAAGGACGGGGCATGAAATTCGGCGACCAATTGATCCATGAAAATGGGCTCTTCCTCGCCCACGTGGTGTCCGGCAGGACCTTCATCCTGCCCAAGACCTGAGGCTTTAGCAAGGACCAGCTTCACTGTGTCGGTGAGCATCAGGACAAGTGCATGAGATCCAGTCATTTAGATACAAGGCACCTTCCAGCTCCAGCAGTGATGCCACGTACGGACTATTTTCCATGCTGGTGTCCGCGAGAGTCTCTGCCTTATTGAGGGTTCAACCCCACAACTATCCTCCTGTCCCTGGAGACTTAATACACCTGACCTGAATAAGTAGGTCACTAGTGCTTGCAGCCATCAACCAACTCAGCTTTGATATGTCTTCACTACTAGACAAAGGGATTCAATGACTAGTCGTCGCAGCCATCAACCTTCAGCTTTGATATGTCCTAGCTACAAGACAGACAGATTCAATGGCCACAAGTAAGTGGTGGAGCAGCCATGCTGCGAAGTTCTCATACACGTAGTTCATGAAGCAGTGCACGGAAAGGGATGGAGCGGAGATAACCTGCAATATGGGTTTTAATTCTTTTCAATGCTACAGAAGCAATGTGCAAGTCCAAACATGCCCAGAAGTGGACATGTGCACCTCTTGCATTCTCATGCCATTGTACCGCCGCCTGTCCACTGGCATTTTGCCGAGCTCCAATCCTCCCAGAAGACGATTAACCTCATCCAGCGCTGACATATTGTTTGATTAGCTAATCTCTGATGCCATGGACAGAATCGGGGTCAAGGTGGGGAGGACACGTGCGACAAAAGTACCCTTTTCGCATTGATTTCCAGAAGTTCACAGAAGCCCGAAGTGCACAGCCTGTGCCCGAAGAGAGCATACTCCATGTGGCCAGCGCTGTCCTGCCAGAGTCACAGCAGTTTGCTTCACAGAGTGCAGGCTTCCGGAAAAAGAGTAGCCCTGTGTTACAGTCCTTGCCAAGGCCACTCAGAATTTGAAAGATCTTCGAGTTCACTTCATCGTGAGACATCTTCTGCAACAGGCTCTTCAACCCATCGAGCTGCACCATCCTTGTGGTTGATGCCCTGAATCCTTCTGTGCATTTTTTGGCGCAGCAACCCTTCGTCCCGGACCTGACACCATCGTTTTGTTGGATATTCCCGGCCCGTGGTGCAAGCAAAAAAAACAGCGCATAACATTCAACTATTTCCTGCAAGCTAAGGGTGTGGCATGGGAGACTCGAAAAGCTTCTGGGACTTTCGTGCTGGAGTCACAGTTTCCGCTGCAAATGTAGGACCCCCCGGCACCACGGGGACGGGCAAATCAAGCAAGGAGTCGTGGCCGGCATCAGCATCCGGAAGAGACACAGCCATGATGATATCCAAGGATGGGAGCGAACACAAAACAGTCGGATATCACGTCCTCTACCTATAGAAAACACACTGTACTGCTTGCTGGTCTGATAGTTGCTTGCATAAACCTGCATGGCTCGAGGCTTGGATCCTGCAAAATCTCACACGTGGACAGGCTTGTGCAACCTGTTTATCGAGAGCTTGCCAAAAACTGAAAATCTCGAGCAACACCTGCTCTGAGAACCCCGGCCACCAGGATGTCATCTCCCCCTGGCTCCAGTGTGCACTCGGCTTGCTTGAAAGCCGTTTCAAGACATGCGTGGCTTCATGTTGGAGATACACACCAGGAGATGCTCTCCTTGTCACTTGAAGATCTGAAGTCCCCGGCCCGCCTCGTCAACGTGAGCTCTGCTATGATCGCTGTGAAGACGGCGAGGTCGATAAAGTACCACGGTTATTACAGGTTTATGCTGGGGTGCTAGGATTTGGGCTCGGGTGGGAATATCTCCAGCACAGAACCTCGGGAGGATCTTGAAAAAAACTATCCTAGTGGATACTTCTGATGCAGTCTACAAAGAACCCATATCAAAGGATCTACTGTCTGGATTCTACTAAGATGAAACGAGTATCTTCGATATAAGAAGCGCTGTCTTTGGTAAAGCCTGACCCGTGCTGCTAACCTTACTTAGGGCTGACCAGCAAGCTTGTGCAACTCGAGCTTCAAGGTTAAATCGGTTACGGTTACACAAGAACAGAGTACAGAATTGATAGTCAGGATGCACAGGATGATGATATAGCTTCCAAAGACAAAACACAGGCCTGGGCTCCTACCTTAATTCACAAACAACCCCCGCNNGACACACACACACACACACACAGCTTTTGATGATGCTGGATTTGTGCAGCTGATAAGGGTTTCGCATCAGGAAGCTTATCGTCTAAGAACTATGGTCTCAGAGTAAACCATTAAGGTTGTAGGGTCGGGTTTTCGAGGTTAAGGTTTTTTCTCACGTGATTGGATGTTTGAGCCACAGCAGGTCTTGAAACTAGTTGTGTTTTTTTGCCGTGCTACACGAGGTTTGAACCCCCCCTGCACAGATCTGACCGCCAGCTTCTCCACACCCAAGACAACCGACAGACCCCTGGCCAAACATAAACTGATTCAGACAGACACAAAAACACATTGGTTCAGCAATATGCATCCTCCCAGCTGAGATTAACAGCGTTTTGCCCTGCCGGGTTCTAGCCAGACTTCAAGGAATCATTCTCCAGTTTCTGATTACTGGCTTTCCAAGGCTCCCAATTCCCAATTTGCTGGGGGGGCTTTCTCTGGCATGTCTTGCTCCTTCCTCCCAATTCTGCCGCCAGCACCAGTGCTGGGGGGCTCCCTCTGGCA